TGGAGGAATTTGGAAGATGCTGCCCTCATGTCATTTTAGCAGTACCTCTCTTTTTTTGTCTTGGTCATATTGTGCTGACTTCCTCCATGTTGTATATTGCCTTTCCCTTCATCAGAATTAACACTTGTCTACTGTCTGGTTGGTGATTCTCCCTCTGTCTCCCACCTGTTCTTGGTAACCAACAAAAAATGTTATTTCTCTGCATAAACCCATTATTGGCTTTTTATAATAGTGGTCTCATACAATATTGTCCTTTTGTATTTGACTTATTTCACTCAACATAATGTCCTCTAGATTCATCCATGTTGTGAGATGTTTCACAGATTCATCGTTATTCTTTATCGCGGTATAGTCCATTGTATGTATGTGACACACTTTATCCATTCATCTGTTGATGGACATTTAGGTTGTTTCCATGTTTTTGCTTTTGTGAATAATGCTTCAGTGAACATGGGTAACCATATTTCTATTCATGTTACGGCTCTTATTTTTTTTTATAGGAACCTATGTATTTCTATTTCTAGCTTTTTAATGCAATGCCATATTGTTTTCCATAGTGGCTATATAATTTTGTAGTCCTACCAGCACTGTATAAGAATTCATCTCCCCAGAGCCTTGTCAGCATTTGTTGTTCTCTGTTTTTTTCTCAGTACCATTATTGCCAGGATGAGACAGTATCTCGTTATAGTTTTGATTTGCATCTCTTTAATGGCTGATGACTGTGAGCATCTTTCCATGTGTTTGTTAGCTGCCTGAATATCTTCTTTGGTGGAGTGTCTGTTTATATCTTTTGCCCATTTTTAAATTAGATTGTCTTTTTGTTGTTAAGGTTTTGAAATTTTCTATAAATATTAGAGATTAGACCCTTGTTGCTTATGTTTTAGCCAAATTTTTTTTTCCCAGAAAAGGTTCGCTTTTCACTCTTTTGGCAAGTCTTTCAATGAGCATACCAAGTATATGTTTTTCGAAGTAACAATGCTGTAATTCTTTCCTCCAGTTTGACAGGTTTTTCAGGTAAGAGGAGCTAAAGATTAATTTTCTGTTAATGAAATGGCAGTTGGCATCGAGGAACATAGAGCCAGTCACACTCCCTCAGGTAAAGGGGTTGATTGTAAGGGTGTTGGCAAGTCAGTGAGGAAAGTGGATCTGAAGCTGGGATTCCGATAGCCTTGTGATGGAGGAGGTAACATGCCTCTGTAAATGTGACTAAATAGTTTGGACTCCACTAACTTAAAGTTGGCAGTTTGAACCTACCCAGTGGTGCATACAATTGAGTTATATTGTACACATATATAGTGGATTACACAATGATAAAAAATAATGATAAATGCGGGAAACATCTCACAATGTGGATGAATCTAGAGGACATGTGAGTGAAATCAGTCAAACACAGAAGGGCAAATATTGTATGACACCACTATTATAAAAACCCAGGAATAGGTTTATGCATAGAAAGAAATGTTCTTTGATGAAACAAAGACCTGGCAATCTGCTTTGGTAAAGATAATGGCCAAGAAAGCCTTAGGAAGCAGTTCTACTTTGTGACACATGGGGTCACTATAAATTGACTCCACAGCAGCTGAGGTTTTGGTTTAAGCTGTTTGCCCATTTTTTGCTTGTTCTTCTGCTCCTAACTGGCTGCCTCCGTACTTGCCAGGTTTCTGTATGGCTTTGGCTTGCCATAGCCCTGACTGTATCTTATGGCATCCTTTTACCTTCAGTTTTGCTGCTAATAGACAAAATAACTCTTCTTAGTTAAAATTCCTAGGGAAGACAAAGTTCAACTCCGTTTAGCACTTTATCTAAGCCATGAGTCCTGTAGATAGCCAACCAATGGATTGATTGCCCTTTGGCCAAGAGTAGGCACCTGACCCATTAACTATGCCCAGGAAGTGGAAAGCAAGGCCTGAGTACTAAACCTGAGCCTCCCCACTCAGGAGGGATGTGTTGTAGGCTGGGCAGCCTCCAGAATTAACAATGGTTGCTCTTTTTAATAATCCTACATAAATACTATTTGTGGCCTCAGTAGAAAGGTGACTGTTACATATAATTGAGTTACTTGGCATTTTTTTTTCCCTGCTCTTATCATTCTTAAGATAAGTTGCTAGGTAGATAAGTACCTTTCCAATAAATCAGTGGATTTATTGCAAAACAAACTTAATTCTTACTCAGAAACTTTCTTAGATTTTGAAAAACTCAACACACACATAGGTATTACCTACAATCCAGCTACCCACAGCAAACCTCAGTTAATATTTTAGTACATTTTTTTAAGTCTGTGTGTATGTCTGTGTGTGTGTGTGTGTGGGGGGGTAGTTCTGGTATTATAGTGCCTAAGGCATTTGACTGCTAACCAGAAGGCTGACTGGTTCAAACCCACCCAGCCGCTCCTCAGAAGGAAGGTTGGGCACTCTACTTCTGTAGCAATACCACCTTGGAAACCCAAGGAGGGGTCACTATGAGTTGGATTCGATTCAATGGCAATGAGTTTGAGAGTTTTTCAGATGTGTGTGTGTGTATTTTTAAAACAACTGTATGTAAGTATAATTTCCGTACATTAAATACATCATTTTACTGACATAAAAATTTTATATATTTGACATAAAAATATTAAACTGAATATATTTAAAAGTGTATACTTTCAGTTTTGATGTTTGTAATCACCTACCATTATCATCATCAAGATAATGAACATATCCATCCCCTCAAAAGCTTCCCCATCCATGCCCCTTTGTGATCCTTCACTCATGAACTTTTTTCCTGTCCCACCAGTCCCCTCCCCATTCCAGGCAACTACTAATCTATTTTCTGTCACTGTGATGGCTAAGTTATGTGTCAACTTGGCTAGGCCATGATTCTCAGTATTATGTAATTATTCTCCATTTTGTGATCTGATATAAGGGAAGTTTCCTTGTGGGTGTGGCCTGCATCCAGTGTATATGTATGTTCTGGCAAATGATCGCTTTCTCAATCCTGTCTCTGATTCGTAATCATTTAACCTCTGGTTCTTGGGACATGAGCCAGCAGCCTGCTGCCTGCCCTGAAGATTTTGGGATTGGCCGGCTCCTCCACCTTTGTGAGCTAGCATCCCAATGTCTGACCTGCTAGTTTTGGGTTCTTCAGCTCCTGTGATCACATGAGTCAGGAGAAACCTTCGATCTGATGCCTGGCCCACGAATTTGGTACTTGGTAGCCTCCAAAACTGCATGAGCCATTTCCTTGAAATAAATCTCTCTCCATACATATTTTTATATATACAATCAAGTACTGCATAATGTCCATTTGGGCAATGTCTGACCACAAATACATCCATGGTCCCATAAGGTTATAGTAGAGTTCAGAAATCCTAAGCAGAGAACAGGATGTAGCAGATGTAGCTGGTCGTAGCAAATGCAACAGCGTCCTGTACACAATACATGTATCTTATGTCTCTTCTATACAAAGCAATTGCATTGCCAGGTATATAATGGTACAGTTGTATATAACCTATATGTATGTCTTTATAGTCATAATAAACTCCTTATGTTACTGGCTTGTTATGTTGTTGTTGTTATGTGCTGTCGAGTTGGACCTGGCTCATAGTGACCCCTCCTTGGGTTTCCAAGGTGGTACCACCTTCCTTCCAAGGAGTGGCTGATAGGTTTGAACCGCCAGCCTTCGGGTTAGCTATCAAGTGCCTTAGGCACTATGCTACCAGAGCTCCTTGTTACTGGCTTATGTATGTACTATACTGTATTTTCTGTTATTTTAATGTGAACTTTCCCTACTTAAAAAGTTTACCATATAACAGTGTATGCTTGGACTTGGAGGCAGCAGCATCCAGTCTCATGTATTGTGTATGTCTTGAGTGTTGCAGCATTATCTCTTTGTTTAATTTTCTTTCTGAAATATCACCATGCAGTGCATTATGGCTCCCAAATGCAGCTAAACCAGTGCCAGTGATAGCAGCAGCAAGAGGCAAAGTAGAATTACTGATTTGTAAGTGAAACAAAAGATTATTAAACAACACAAATGTGGGAAATCAGTGAATAGTATTGCTCGTGATTTAGGCATGTTTGCACAATGTCTAAATCACATAATATCCTATTTCGCAGAAAGTATGATGGACGTTAAGTGACACATGGCTGGATACGTTTCCCCAGTTTGGTTGCTTTAGAGAACCCAGCCTAAGACAGTTACTGTAGATTAGTTATGGAGCCCTGATGGTGCCGGGGTTAAGTGCTCGACTGCTAACCAAAAGATCTATTGCTAACCAGTAGGTCAATGGTTAGAACCTACTGACTGCTCCGTGGGAGAAGAGACCTGGCAACCTGCTTCCTATAGATTTCAGCCTATAAAACCTTACAGGTTTATTCTACTCTGTCCTATAACGTCACTATGAGTTGGAATTGACTTGGTTGCAGTCAGTTTGTTTTTTTAAAAATTGTTTGTTCTTCAGTGAGTTGTCTGTTTCCCATTATTCTGCTGGTGTCTTAGTGTTTAACTTCAGCTCTTCTAGTGTTTATATGAGCTCTTTATTTATTAACATGTTTTCATGATTGCTATAAATATTCTCTAGATTGTATTGTTTTCCTTTATAATTTTAAGTTATTTTAGACGAGCGAAGGTTTTAACATTTTTGAATAATCAAATTTTACAGCATTTTTCTTTTTGAGGCATAATATGTGAGTAGGTAGGAAATATGAATTACCTCATTCTATTTTTGATTGCGTTTCCTCACTGAAAGTTCTGTGAGTGTGTGTGTGTGTAGGGAAGAGAAAAATGGGGCAGGAACTGCATGTGATACTTGGTTATGTGTGTTTTCTCTAACTCTAACTTGTTAATTGATAAGCATTGCTGGTAACTTGCTGAGCATTTACCATTTATACTGGCAAATGACCTTGTTTATGAAGATTGCAAAAACTGGTAGGTTTGAAGCATTAAGTCTGGCCACATTTTGAGTGTCTCTTGTTCATGTTGCAGATAGATATAATGTTTGCACATTATTTATATTTTCTTTTAGGTCTGCTTGGCTTTGAGGAAGAGCTGCAATAAAGCCTCATTGCATAAGGGATGGGATCAGAGAACAGTGCTTTAAAAAGCTACACACTGAAAGAACCACCATTCACCTTACCTTCTGGACTTGCTGTTTATCCAGCTGTACTGCAAGATGGCAAATTCGCTTCAGTGTTTGTGTATAAGAGAGAGAACGAAGACAAAGTTAATAAAGCTGCAAAGGTACTGTAATAGGTGACTATATGATAGTATCTTTTACTATCTTGTTTTTTATTTAAAACAGTACAATCAGTAACAATTAAAATAGATAAAGCCATAAGGAATGCTGTTCTTACCCATTACTTTAAAAACATAGTTGTGCTTTATGATAATATCTCCAACTTGCACGACATGGTCAATTACCAAAGCTGCAGCAAAATGTATCATAAATCTCAGTGTGATGGCTTTTATCATCTTTCTTTCTTTCTTTCTTATTTTTTTAACAGTTGTTGAGAATATACACACAAAAGATACACCAGTGCAACCATTTCTACATGTCCAATTCAGTGACACTCATTACATTTTTCACATTGTGCAATGATTCTTGCTCTCCTTTTCTGAGTTGTTCCTCCCCCATAACATAAACTCACTGCCCCTAAGTTTCCTATCTCATCTCTCAAGTTGTCACTGTGATCCCATGTAGATAGTTCTTAAAACAGCTTAGTGCTCAAGGCACACATTTTTCTCTGGTTAAAGTAAACTATTACTTGGTTTTAAAAAGACTTCAGGGGATATTTTTGGTTTAAAGTTTCAAAATTATCTCAGGGCAATAGTTTTTGTCTAATGGCTCCAAAAAGTCTAGAGTCCATGAGAATTTGAAATTCTGTTCCGTGTTTTCCCTCTTTCATTCTTTATTTTCTTGTGAGGAAGTTAGGGAAACTGATTTAACATGGTTAATATAAAGGGTTAGTATAATTTTAACAGCCTGTCGCTCAGACAGAACAAGGGGATACTGCATGGTTTAAATTCAGAAAGGGTGTACATCAGGGTTATATCCTTTGACCATACTTTATCAGTCTGCATGCTGAACAAATAATCCGAGAAGCTGGACTATATGAAGAAGCATGTGGCATCAGGATTGGAGGAAGAATCATTAACAATCTTCAATATGCAGATGAAACAACCTTGCTTGCTGAAAGTGAAGACACTTGATGCATTTACTAATCAAGATCAAAGACTACAGTTTTCAGTATGGATTACATCTCAACTTAAAAACAGTGAAAATCCTCACAACCAAACCAATTAGCAACATAATGATAAATGGAGAAAAGACAGAAGTTATGAGGGATTTCGTTTGATCCATGGTCAACACCCATGGAAGCTGCAGTCAAGAAATCAGACGTCATACTGCACTGGGCACATCTGCTGCTGAAGACCTCCTCAGAGTGTTAAGAAGCAAAGATGTCACTTTGAAGACTAAGGTGTGTCTGACCTGACTCATGATATTTTCAGTCACCTCATGGCATAGTTCCTAAGGCATTTGACTGCTAACCAGAAGGCTGGCAGTTCAAACCCACCAGCCACTGCTCAGAAGGAAGATCGGGCAATCTACTTCTGTAGAGATACCATCTCGGAAACCCAAGGAGGAGTCTTGTGAGTCAAACCAACTTGACAGCAGTGAGTTTGTTTTTCTCTCGTATACATGTGAAAGCTGGGCAATGAATAAGGAAGACCAAAGAAGAGTTGATGCCTTTGAATTATGCTGTTGGCAAATAATACTAAAACTATCATGGATTACTAGAAGAACATACAAATCTGTCCTGGAGGAAGTGCAACCAGAATGCTCCTTACAAGTGAAAACTGGCTAGACTATGTCTCCCCTACTTTGGTCATGTTGTCAGAAGGGACCAGTCCCTGGACAAGGATATCATGCTTGGTAAAGTGAAGGCTCAGCAAAGAAGGGGCGAACCCTCAACAAGATGGATTGACACAGTGGCTGCAATGATGGGCTCAAGCATAGCAAGGATTGTAAGGATGGTGAACTGGGCAGTGTTTCATTCTGTTGTACATAGGGTGGTTTTGAGTCAGAACTAATTCGATGGCACGTAACAACACCACGTAGCATAGTAAAAATGATTCAGGGATTGACAGCTTTCTAAGTAGTGTGTTGATGATGGACATCCTAAGATGAAACTTCAACTGTTTTTCTTTCTGTGGGGTATTGTGATGCCCCCGAAAGAATATTGGACGGGGAACTAATGGCCTTGTGCTCTAATTCTTGTTGAGGTACCTTGGACAGATCATTCACTTTTGGAGGCCTCAGTGTCCTTCTTAGGCAAAAGGCCCTTCTAGCTTCCAGTTTGTAACTGCTGCTCCCAGCAGAGTGCAGTACATTAGTGTGCTGTCGGATGTGCTGTCCAGTGACCCTGGCCTCTTCTTTAGAAAGAATATGCAGTGCAGTGAATTGCTTAATGTGGCCCTTCTAGCCTAACCCTCCATTTTGTGATGTATTGTAGGTGCTAGTCTCTATGCCTGTTTAGGGTGGGATGTCTCTTGAGTCCTGCCTTGCTGGACAGTGTGACTCAAGTCACCACCCTTAGTTTCCTTGAGGGTATGTGGGTGAATGTACTGGGAAAGTTCAATCTCTTGCTCTGGTCCTGCATTTCGTTTGTCATCATCTCACCCCTGGACTTGAAACAGCAGCTGGTCAACTGACCGGCCAGTTTGGTTTCACCAGCCCCTGCAACCACATGAGTGAGGAGAATCCTCCAGACCTACCCATGATTTTGGAGCCTCCCAGCCTCCACAACCACGTAAACGATATCCTTGGCAGTTTGTGAGTTCTGTGAGACATTAACAGTGAAATATGGAACCCCAAGACAGAGGGAGAGTACTGAGGGGAAGAGGAGGAATTGATGTCAGAGATGATGGAGTGGGCACAGCAGTTTGGAAAAGTTGGACATTTGGGATATCTTTAACCTCAGCCTCATAGGGACCAGCCTTATGCTAATCCTTCTAAAAGAAAGTACTGAAGCAGAATGATACTGCCTCAGAATAATACAATTTTAATGAAATGACTCCAAATATCTTTTTGAATTAAAGAAAAGAGAGATATTAGTTGATATTTCCTTGTATAGCTTAGCATCTTGGATATTTGGCTGCACAAGTCATCTTAGAAAGTTACTAAAATGGCCAGTATAATTGTATTTGTTAGCATATTTTTACTCAAATAACATTTCTACTTTTTTGCCAACTATGCCCTCCCACCAAGGTATTTTCATAAGCTACTTATGAAAATACCTTGGGGTGAGGATGAGGTTGGCAAAAGACATAACGTATGTGTTATTTGTGTAAAGATATGGTAATCCTGCATTGCATACAATGGCAAACACTAGTACTAGGTTGAATTTAATATCTTTATTTTGTTAAAGTTATGATCTATATTACTAAGTCCCTCTGTACTACCAACAGGTATAAAACATTGATATCTTTTTCATAAGTTACTTTAAATGATTTTTTACTCTTTTAAAATGATTATAAATGTTACACTAGTAATACGGTTTTGGCATTTCATTAGTCACACCAGTTCATTATTTGATGTTGTGTCTTTAGTCAGACAGGGAATTAACAGTCTTATGATGGTTCCTAAGGAAAAATCAATCTGTAGCAGTCCTTTCAAGGAAACATTTTCCAGTGATGCATTGTTGTAAGAAGGGTAGTTGCCTGTTTATTGTTTTTCCAGATCTCACAAGTTTCCCACCTTTCTATCACTTGTTTTAGTGGAAAATATTTGAGTTTTCCTTCTCTGACAGGTTCCACTTTACACAGGTTATGGCTTTCTCAGGTTTTACTGTACTTTTTATTAAGATTTTGCAAAAGACATAACCCCTTCCTTCAATGTCTTATCTGTATGTGCACTTAATGTCTCATATACTTCCTATTCTTTTCATCAGATAAGATTGTACATATTTTTTAATAGTAATTTAGAGTGAATATTACCAGTGGGGTACAAGAGAATTAAAACCTTTGTTGTTTTTTAATTTTGTTTCTTAAGACTATAAGATTTTTTTAGAAACTGTATTGCCCATTATAGTATATTTAGCAAGAAAGTTGAATAACCTAGATTAAAAAGTTTTTTAAAAAAATATAAGTCCACTTGATGTTTGAGGACTTTGTGTTGTAGGAATTGCAAACCTTGGAAAGGAAGATGATTTTTTTTTACCCTCTAATATCTTATAGATAACCTTCTAAGCCATGACTCAGTCTTTACAAAAAGTTCAAAGTTGTCTCTGTAAGTTCTTCAGGCCATCCTGGGGCTTTGAAAGCCTTAGATGTGTCTGGGAAATTTGCAATAATAACAAGATAATAAGGAGTTTAGATTATCAGAATGTTTCTGAACTAGCTCACAGTACTTGAGAAATGTCTGGCATTTGATCCATCAGGTTTTAGGGACCTGATTTCCTACATGTTTGAAATACTAAAACAACTGTAGTTAGAGTGCATGCTTCTCTTTCTCTGGCGTTTGAGGTCCTGATCCTACCTTTGATAATTTTAATGACAGTTTCAAGCAGACATGGAGTGTTTTACTTGGCAAATGTTGCTTGGTAGCAATTATACTCTTTCTCTACTGTTCTAAATTTAAAAATAAGTAAATAAAGTGATCATGGTGCACTGTTTGTTCTCTGAAATAAGACAAAATGCAAATATAAGCTCTGACCACAAAACAGTATCAGAAATAGTTCAGATTCATGAGACCTTTTATTTTCTCTTCAGTTCACCAATTATAATTATTAACGTGATTTGTTCACTGGTTATGATGACTCACTTCTAACCAGTAATTTATTAGGAACGATAAATCCTAAATCAGAATTTTATTCCTGTGATTTGCTACAATCCAAACAGTCAATTAGGACTTCATGGTAAGTAGAAACATAAAAAAAAAAAAATCCTTAGTGTCTTTGTAAGGGGTTTTGGTGGCACTATGGTTAAAGCAGTGGGCTGCTAACCAAAAGGTTGGTGGTGTTTGAACCCACCAACTGCTCCATGAGAAAAAGATGTGGCAGTTTGTTGCCATAAAGATTTACAGTCTCGGAAACCCTAGGGGGCAGTTCTGTTCTGTCCTGCGGGGTTGCTGTGTGTTGGAATCAACTCAGTGGCAGTATGGTTGTTATTTGGTTTAGTGTCTTTGTGTTAGGCAGCCACTTAGGATTCTAGGAATAGGTATATAGATGCTACACAGATGC